GTGTCTAGCCTGGGTCCACAGCAAAGTAGGGAGCTCTGGTGGCCTAGTGGTTAAGAAGCTGCACTGGAATCTCAAAGGCACATTTTGTTTTTTAAACTTTTCTTTTATATTGGTTTGCATACAAAACTTTGTATACATTGACTTTCACTCTATCCTTCATTCACATTGTTTCATACAATCATTCCCATTCTTTATAGTTTTTCCTTATAAAATTGTTTTATTAATAATAGCTCTCTCCAATAGCCTGAAAGAGATTATTTCCATTATCCTCGACTGAACTGTATGTTGCAATTGAACTGCATGTTGCTTTCTTTTAGAATGTCCTTTTGTTCTCAGAAATCATTTTTAAACCACTCTCTGTGTTCTATTTTTCTGTTTAACACTCAAATATGGGTTTATGGAAAGGCCACAAGTCACCAGCTCCATGAAGTGGCAAACTGGTCTTTCTGGGGGAAAATGCTCCAAATATTTATTCAGAAATATATGTTCATGAAATTCTAAACCATCATCATCAAAACCTGCTTCACTGTTAACTGGCAACTCCCACAGCTGCCCCTCTTTAGTCCATGGGTTCACCTCTTCAAAACCGTCCTGCAAAGTCTGTTGATTCACTGCACTAATTGTTCCGCAAACTGATCCCAGATTCAAAGGTGAAGCCTCTGTTTCAGGTTCTTCTTCAGCAACTTTAATATAAAAAATATTAAGTCTCTTCCCCTTGAATATATTTTCTTTCATCTAAGCTTATCGTTCCTCGAATGGTCAAAATAATTATCTTGTCCTTCTTCACACTGAATCTGATGCTCTGGTCTTGAACTAACTCTTAGAGGTAGTAGATTTGGCAACTCTCACATCTGACACTGTGTTACTGAAACTAACTCTGCGTCCTCCTCCCTCCTTCTGTGGCCCCCACTCTGCCCTGTGTTACCTGAGCAGTGCTGGTCTGTTCTTCTTGTCAAAAGGAAGAGACTCCACAACAGCAGGTGCACCTGCCACTAACCCAGGACTCAAGGACTCAGCTCTTTGTGGTCTTTTCTGTAGCATTTTCAAACCTGCCAATTGGAGTCTTTAAACTTTTTAGCAGTTCTATTTGGTGTCTGTGTTGTCTCTACATTTGCTGTACTTAATTCAACCTTCATGTTGTTGTTGTGATGTTCCATCAAGTTGTCTGTGACTCACAGTGGCCCTATATATGTACCCTGCCCTATCCTGAGCCAATCTTACAGTCTCCAACAGACCTAATCCCTTTTCTCCAGTCTCTTCATCAATCCATCTCATCCGGGGTCTTCCTCTCCTGCAAGCATGATGTCCTGCTCCAAGGACTGGTCCCTCCTGGCCACGTGCCCAAAGTATGTGAGATAGAGCATCAAAATCCTAGCCTCCAACGAGTAGTCTGGTTTCACCCTCTCTAGGGAAGACCTGTTTGTCCTCCTAGCACCCCATGGTATATTCAACACTCTTCTCCAGCACAAGCCAAAGATACTGATCCTTCTTCTATTATCCTTAGTTATTGTCCAGATATAATATTTAACAAATCTTGTTTTGTGTTCTCCTTTGTTCATCTCTGCTATGGGAAGCTTTCTTGGAAATGTTACAGACTTCAACATTTTCCTCATCTATCTTGTTAGTGCCAACGTATCCTTGCTTTTGGGTTGTTTTTGTTTGTTTTGTTTTGTTTTGTCTAGACTTCTGTGAAGAGCAGCGAGTAGCAGACTCACAGGCACTGATCCTTCCAAGCTTCCAGGGGACAACAGGAAGTATAACGTGGGACAAAGGGAAATGTAACATGGGGCAAAGAGACAACAGGGTTGAGACTCGAGGAAACATCTCATAGACACCAAACTACACAGAGAAAATAGTGAGAATCTGTTTCATAAACTCGATCACAATTGAACTATGTTCACCATTACCCTGTCTTTCCTGATCCCCACTGGATCTTTCCCATTTCCTCCAGCTGCTCTGCAGGAGAAGGATGGGCAATCTCCACGCATGCAATTTACTGCCTCTCAAAACCCACTGGAGGGTCAGATATGGGTTGGTTCCAACTCAACGGCACACAACAATAATAACAACAGAGCAGAGGAGAACCTCCAGCTAGTCCAGAAAGAACGTCTACTGTGAAGAGATAAAAAAATCTTTAAGATTTTGAGTCACCAAGGTTTTAAGATCTTTTGTTATTGTGATAGAAATCAGCCCTGATCTGGCAGTAATAACACTAGGGAGCTATGGTAGCCCAATGGTTAGGAGTTGCATTGTCAACACAAAGGTATACGGTTTGACTCCACCTGGGGCTCTTCAGGAGAAAAATGGGCAACCTCCTCCCCTGTGATTTACTGCCTCTGAAAACCTTCTGGAGAATCAGTGATGAGTTAGTTCCTACTCTAGGGTACATAACAACTACCACCATCTGTCTTTGACAGGAATCGTGGATGGGAGACGGGGGGAATCCCTCAAACTCATTACTGTGAGTCAAACCCACCTCATAGCAGACATTCCAGTTGGTTTCAGAGGTGGTAAACTGCTTGGGAGGAAACTTCCCATTTTTCTCCTGCAGAGTAACTGATGGATTCGAACCACCTGCCTTTGGGTTGACAAGCACAATTCCTTATCCGCTAGAGCACCAGGGCTCCGCTCCCTTTGTGGATGGTCATAAGAGAAAAATCAATCAGGCAGGTCCTGGGCTTCCAGAAGCTCACAATCTCTTGGCAGAGACAGGTGCAGACAAGAGCCCTCCAATCTACTGCAGACACGGGCAGCATCAGATGAGAAGGACTGGTAGAAATAGATCACTTCTAACGAGAAGAGAGCAAGGAAGGCTTCTGGGAGTAGGTGACACTGGCATTGGCTTTGAAGTGCATGCAGAAAGATCAAAGGCATTCAGGGAGGTGTATGAGCAAAGGACTGGAGATGGAGGGTGTGTTGCAGAAAAGCAAAGTGGGCTGGAACAGAGTGACTGGGAAGACTGAATGCAAGAAAGGTGATGGGGTGCGAGGTGAGGCTGAGTTTAGGTTATAGAGGCTCTTGATAACATGGGAAGCAGCTTGCTTTACCACTAGAGACAGTGGGGAGCCCCAGGGTCTAAAGGCAGGCACACATATCTTTAGTGGTCTGTTTTAGCCAAGACACCCTGGCAGTCACCATGGAAAACAGATGATAGCGGAGAGACACGGAGAAAGTGACAGAGCTGACCATGGGATGCTGCAATGATATGGGGTGACAGTGGGGTACCCAGTGAAGGAACTACTGGTAAGAACACAAGAGCAATTCTCAATTGTTGGGAAGAAAAAGCAACAGGACCAGAGTCCAAACTCAGGTGTTTACATACAACAGGGCTGTCCCACGAGGTCCTGAGCATTACACACAGGATGGGGGCCACGAAGACAGGGGCACATAGAAATCAGGAGGAGGTGAGCTAGAGCTGGACGAGGAGGGCAGGAGGAGAGGAGGGAGACACTTCAGGACACAGAGGGATCTAAGAACAGATGGCACAGGTTGTGTGGAGGAAGGACCAATGGCCAGAGATGTCACTAGCAGGCTGAAGAACACAGGCTTCATCTCACAGCCACAATCTGCAAACTTGGGGCCACGGAATAACACTGGCCCACAGGCAGAATTTGCTAGACAGATGCAGAAAGTCCGCATGACCTGCCAGAGTTGGCAGCCAAGAGTTCACACTGCATTTTCCACTTCGGGTCCGTGCCTCTTCTAGAGAGATGGTGGCAAGAGCCCCCACCCGATGGTGCCCCGCTCAACAGCTGCCCACCGTGGGCTCTCCTGCTTCACGCAATCCTATTTAGGCTAAGTGAGCACACAGTTGATCCTCATTATTCATAGATTCCATATTTGCAAATTCACCTATTTGCTAAAAATACTCAAGGCACAGAGCAGTGAAAAATCCCCAGCTGCAGTTGAAGAATTCACTAATTTGGTGTTCAAGGGACTTTATAGAATATAACTACCACGTGGGACAAGAATCAACTGGCTTTGTTAGGTCCTTGGGGCATCTGAATGTACGAGCCTAACAGCACTGCAGGAATCCCGAGGAGTCTCCACAGGCTTATGCTGGAGAGAGACGAAGTGGAGGGGGGAGGAATTTCTAAGAACCTGGTTTCCACAGAGCTCTCTGGAGCCAAGCTCCAACTAGAAGGGACAGAAAAGGCACCAGTCTGTCCTTATTCCATTCCTGAGTTTCTGGTCCACACAGGACCTGTGTAGGGAGGTGTGCCCAGAACCCACCGTTGAAGCCAAGGAAGCAAAGAAGACAGGCATTAAGGACACAAGGGGGCAGCTGTGGCTTTGTTGTTGTTATTGTTGTTTGATGCCGTCCAGTCATAGATGACTCACAGCGACCCTGTGAATGAACAGCCTGAGCGCTGTTTGTACATAGTGTTTCCAGAGGCAAGCCATTTCGGAAGTGGATGCCGCTCCTGCTTCCAGGCTTGATTTAGTCGGGAAGCTCCAGCCAACACTGTTCACCAAGGGTACCCATTACCACAATTGGCATATCACTGTCACAGTCTTCAGCATCACAAGAGTTACCTCTGTACAGCAACGCACAGACCAGTGCTATACCACCTAGAAGAATGTTTGACATTCTTTAGAGAGGGAATATTTTACCTCGTCAGCCAGCAACAGAAGGGGAGAACTCCCTGTCACTGGAGGCAATCAAGCAGAGGCTGGCTGAGCTAGACCCACCTATGGAAGGGGAGCACTAAGGTTTGAGATTTACTGAGCGTGCAGAAGGTTCAAGGACATGGTCTTGAGCAGGGTATCGATAAATGGATGCTTTTCTACATAAGGGCAGAAAGAACAGCTCCCAGAACTAGAACAAGACAAGCAAAGTAAACTGGGGAAATCAACTCTTACCCAAGGGCAGAGGTTATGTCCTGGAAATATCTCTCAGCCAGAGAGGGGCCAGAGATCACAGGTCCCCTTTCTCCCAGGCCTCTGGCCTCACTTTCTGAGCCTGGTCCCCGTCAGGGCCCTCACAGATGGGCACTCACCAAGGGTCTGCTGGTTGCGGACGCCGCCGATCACCACACAGATCTCGGCAGGCACTTCCCCGGTCCCGTCCTTGCTGACTGCCTTCTTGTCCTCCTTGGCCTCACCCTGCCAGATCACCTCCTGGATATAGTCGTCTGGCAGCTCTGTCTTCACCTTCACCTCTGTCATCGTTCCCTGTTCAGTGCTCAGCGAAGCCTCTGCCGGAGCTGGCTCTGGACCCTCCACCTTGGTGGTCTTCTGGCTGCGCTTCAAGCGCTCCCTGGGAAAGAAGAGGGTCTGCTCAGTGTGGACCCCATACCTTCCCCCAGACCAACCTGAAGCCCATCAGCTCAGGCAGCTGCAAAACATTTCACCAAAAAGCCATCCCGCAAACAAACTTCACTTGATACCTTGGGGCCCATAGACATGCCAGGCGTGTACACAGAGAAAGGTGGGCCCCCCAGCACACTCAAGTCTCTTGTACAGGTCCCCATGGCTGCCTCGGAGGTTCTTCCAAAAAACCCTGAGGCTACAAAGGACACAGCTGAAGAATCATTGGGATAGACACCTTTAAGTCCACCCATTTTGCAGACAGGAAAGCTGAGGTCTAAAGAGGTCTCGGGAGCTCTGGTGGCCTACTGGTAAGAAATTGTGCTGCAATCCCAAAGACACACAGTTCAAATCCACCAGATGCTCCAAGGGAGACGGATGGGCAATCTCCTCCCATGTGGTTTACTGCCTCTGGAAATCCCACTGGAGGGTCTGCTGTGAGGTTGTCTCGGACTTGATAATACTCAACAAAGAGGTCTAGATGTGCCCACCTGCCTCACTTGCAACTATTAATCTGTACTCATCACGATTATAGAGGGAGCTCTGGTAACCTAGTCAGTAGGAAGTTGCCCTGTAAATAAAATTTTAAAAAAGCGGTTCAAATCCACCAGCTGCTTCCTGGCAGAAAGAAGGGCAATCTCTTCCCAGGCGATTTATGGCTTTTGAAAAGGTGCTGGAGTGTCAGCTATAAATCAGTTCCTAGATGATGGCAATGAGTGTATCTTAACTGGAGTCACAAGAGACCTCAAAGAGCATCTCTGGCTGGTACTCCCAAATGCCACTCACACACTCACAAGTTTGGATGCTGATAAAATGCAGATTATGGTTCTGTAGGTCTGGCAAGGGGGCCCCCATATCTGGCACTTCTAATAAACCCCCAGCAGTGAGGCTGATTCTGCTGGTCGTCAAACCACATTCTGAGCAGCAAGGGTTTAAATGTTTTGATGAATGCAAAGTGGCTAGTGCTTATCTTCTCCCGTTTGTTCTTTGGCAGAAGGGCTAGAGATCGCTTCCAAGTCCTTCCCTGCTCCTGTTTCACAGATGGAGAAGCTACAATCCAAAAAGGCTCCCTTGAGATGTACGGGAGCCAACATCTCTGGAGTCGAGGAGCTCTTCAAACACCAGGAAACACCCTCAAGGCAGCGAGCTCAGTGCTACAACAGGCAGAACATTTGTTCCTGAACTTCCAGCATAAGAAGGGTGGCAGGGGCCTGGAGAAGAACAGTGGCATGTCCAGCACCACACAAACAGGCGGCAAGGCCAAGGCCATGGCACATAGCCACTCACTCCTGAACCATTCTCCTCTGTGCCCTCGCAGGGCTCCCTCAGTCAGAAAGATGAAGGGATTCTCATCGCTAAGGCTGGGAAGATGAGGCGTGCCAACACTGAAATCAAGTCATGTGCCTGGCCCAAGGGGAGTGAGGTGTCAGCTCCCTGGCCTTCAGGCTGCTGAAGCCTTCAGGAAGGGTAGCTCATACTGCATCTCCATCAAGGGAAGCAGGTCCCCCACTTTGACGGAAAGGTCATCAACTGGCAGGAAAAAACCTGCAAGTTATGTGAAGCTCCAAGAATATACCCATGTCAGGCAGGTCAGGGAAGTTACAAGGAGGCAGCTATGGCTTTCAAGAGGAAAGAGATTCCTCCCCACCAAGCAACAGCATAAGAGGAGGGCCGCGCTTGAGCTGAAGTGGGAATAAGATGCAATACTGTGAAGTGGAAAAAGAGTACCAGGCCTTTCTAAACACGGCGTCCCACGTCTCTCCTCACAGAGGACAGGCAGCACCCCTCCCCACGCCTTCAGTGCATTAGATTTACAAGCCCCAATGTTTTTCTGGAAGCTGTGCGTTCAGTTAGGTGCCCTAATAACAATGGAACTGCAGAGGTACTTACATCACTTTGAATTAGTGGTGCAGCTACTCCTAACTTCTATTTTTTTTAAAAATTTTTTCATATATCATTTTTTAAAATAGAGCTCATTATTTTAATTATATCCATTTAAATGTACAGTGGAGCCCTTGGATATTCTCAGCATGAATCATTAGGTATATTAGTGAAAAAGCACTCAGAATCTATCTACATGCTGACACTCCATAATCTATTCTATTTGTGTCGCTGTAAAATAGATTTATATATAGATAACTACAAAATAGTTACTCAAGATATGCTATGAATTTTATATTTAACCCAAGTCACACTTCAACATAAAATCCAAAGTCGGGCACTGAAGGGGTATTTTCAAACCAAGTGCAGGCTATCTGTGGTCCATTTACTGTATGCACCCAGCTCCCTGAGAGTGAGACCCAGGGAATTCCACAGGGCCTGGCCTTTTGCTAAGTGGATTCCTTGAAGGCCCTAGGGTTCCACATTAATAGCTCAGGAACACTCTGAGGCCAGATGAGGAAAGCAGTGCTGATCAGAGCTCCTAACCCTTACCTTCTCTGTCTTTTCAACAAGCACCACTTTGCTTTCTGCCCTCAGTATAGATTTGGTGCTTTTCCTACCCAATATCTGGGTCATACAAGCAGTTTGTCTTTCCCTATTAACCAAGAAGCTGGTGCTATGAGTCTATCTAAGGTGCCTCTGCTGCTCCTATAGGCTCTGGTCGGTTAGTCCCAAAAGACGTGCTGCATTCTCTTGCTTCTTTTTTGCTGGTGTTAAGATACTCCATCTAGAATTACCAAGGAGCAATGATGTTAGTTTGAGGACTAAGGAGTGCCTGATTCAGGTCACAGTCTTCTCAACTACTTGCTATGCTGCTGAGAGCCTGACAATGAATAAGGATTACAGAAGAATTGATGTCTTTGAACAGTTGTGTTGGAGAAGATTCTGAAAATTCTGTGGATTTCCAAAAGAATAAACAAATGTCTTGGAGAAGATGCAGCCAGAGTGCTCCTTGGAGGCAGAGATAATAAAGTTTCATCTCACATACTATGGGCATGTTGCCAGGAGAAGCTATTCTTTGGAGAAGGACAGCATTCTTAGAAAGGTGGAGACAGTGACGGAGAGGAAGACCCTCAACCAGGTGGATTTTACCCAGTGACTGCAGCAATGGGCTCTACTCTGTCAGAGATTTTAAGACTGGCAGAAGATAGGTTAGGATTCCTTCCTATCTGTTGTTCATAGAGTAGCTATGAGTCATACTTGACTCGACACCACTTAACAACAACAAGGTGCCTAAAAGGAAGTTCTGGTGATCTATTACCAAAAGATTACAGCATTGTGCATGCACTCAGCGGTGCGCGGCTCTACTCTCAAATGCAGGGCTGCCATGAGTCAGAATCACCTTGATGACTATGGGCTCTATTCCATCTACACTGAAGAAATGGTCCCATAGCTGATATGTTTGCAAACCACTGCCATATACCACCCTCATGCCAGGGAGGTGTAGTGGGTAAGGAATTGTGCTACCAACCCAAAGGCATATGGTTTCAAATCCACTGGCTGTTCCATAGGCTAAAGTCTGCTGAGTGTTCCTTTTCTGATTCAATGGCACCTACCAACCCACAACCTTCATGTCATTCTTGGAAATGTCCATTATCAGGCCAGGCTAAGCCATGTGCCTGCAGAACTTTCAGAAGTGAGGATCTTCCTCCAGGCCTTTTCTGACAGGCCTTCATGTGCTTACATGCAGCCCACCACATCTGGCTTACATAAGAGGCAGATGGGGAAATGAAAGCTCAGAAAAAAAAATCTTTTGTCTGTTTTGTCCCCTTCCATACTCCGTGTTCCACCCCTGCACAATGCCGAGCACATAGAAGAACCTCAAGAAAAGCAGGTGAATGAATGGCATGTCCAAGGTATAAATGTGCAGAGGTACGCTTGGTCTGAAAATTCTGACTCTGATCCAGCTGCTTTCCCTTTCCAACCCTATCATGTAAGACCATGCAATCAAATAATTCCCAAGAGCATTTGGCCAGAAGTCAACTACCATCCCTTAAGCATGTTAAAGGAGGACTTTCAGGTCACATCACTGCCTAAAAGCCAAATAACTTTGCTCCTGAGCACAGTTTTTATACCATTCCACCCAAAATACTAATGCTTGTGGAGCTACCAAGTCACAGCAGTTTAACAGAGTCCTCAGCCCTTGGACTTCAGTCCAACCTGATTTCCTGAATTGTCTTCTGCCTTTCTAGCGTTACTACAAATAAGCTAGGATCTGAGTCCCCCACCTTTTTCAAGTCACATGGTACACATGCTTAATAATTAACTGAATAATTAACTGACAGATGAGACGTTTGAGTCCACACAGAGGTATTTCAAAATAAGGACCTGGAAATCCACTTACAGAAAGTCAGCCGCTGAAGCCCTATGGAGCACCATTCTACTCTGACATATGTGGAGTCACCATGAGTGGGAATCAATTGGACAATAACTGGTAGGGCCCTTTGTAAAGGTCTTTACCGATCAGAGGAGGGGACCACCTTGTACTCTGTTGTCCCAAGACCCCCTGAGGACCCTTCATCCTCCTCCAAGGTGCTGTGTACTTAGTCTCTTCCTCACCTGAAGCAATGTCAAGGCTGAGAAAGCAAGCTTCCAACTACAGCATGTAAATAATGACTTGGTTAACTTCCTCTGGAACAAAGTGTCATTAAAAAGAGACTCGATTCATTAGGGATGAGGGTTAACTGGTCTCAAGCTGGACTTAACACACATGATCCCCGAGCACGTGGAGTATCAAATGAATTAACCCCTATATAAGCAGGACTTTAGGAGCTATGCTTTGCCTACTCCAGAGGCTGAACACTGAACAAGTTCTCCAACTCACTTGCTCACCAACCAATTATCTGAGCGCAACTCCAGTCACTGGTGCCCGCAAACTCACATGTTGGCAAAGTGTCCTAAGTCACACACTCCATCCCTCTTCAAAAGAGCTGTTCTTTCTAAGACTTCAGGTGACCTTTATGTTGCTAAATCCAGTGGTCAGTACACAGGCCTGATCTAGCTCATCCT